GATTATAAAAATTGCTCATATTCAAGGTCATTTTTTACCAAAAAAAACACAAGCGGCAGTGGAAAAGTCCTTTTATATACCAGAATTGTCAACGAAAGCATCAAGAACAGTAAAAAGCTGCGTGGCCTGCATCAATGAGGAAAAAAGAGGGGTAACGCCGATAGATAAGGAGCATAGGCTTTTAGGAACGTATCACGTTGACCACGTAGGGCCGATGACAGAAAAAAGCATATGGTGCAAGTATATTTTTGTTGTTGTCGATGCGTTTTTTAAGTTCGTGTGGCTTTCTTCAACACTGCGACTGATAGTGTGGTAGATCAGCTTAAAAGACAGTCAGCAATATTTGGGAATCCAAGGCGCTTTATGACAGATCGGGGCGCTGCATTTACGTCTAATTCGTTTTTTGAATATTGCATGAGTAAGGGAATACAACATTTAATGATAGCTGCTGGCATTCCTAGGGAAAATGGTCAGGTGGAGCGCATCCATAAAATCTTCATACCCTTGTTGTCTAAACTATGTGTCGAAAATCCTACCCAGTGGTACAAGCTTTTAGATAGAGTACAACTATTGATAACACACGACCTAGAAGTACAAAAGCTGCAACCTTTAGATATTTGACAGGTATTGATATAATATATTGATACTGAAGCCGAAGTATTTTGGTCCGTACAAAGTAACAAAAGTTTTACCTCATGGTAGATACGTAGTGCGAAAGTTTGGCGAACACGAGGGCCCTAGTCACACCTCTACCGTTGCGGAATATATGAAGCGATAGGCGCAGCCAGCAGATTCATAAGGCGGAATATCATTCGAGTCAAATGATGAGTCAGGAGAGCCGAATGTGAGATCAGAAGGCAGTAAGAAATGCGACCCTGACATTAGTAACCCGCAACCCTAATAACTATGACTGACTTCAGTAATGTTTAAGTTTATCGATCGTCGTCGAGTTAGTTGAAAAATCAAAGTCATTGCAAGCGGTTGCATTAATGAAATGTCTTTAAATTAATGAATCTATGTGTTTGTAAAACTTTTGTCATTCAGTAATTGATTTGCATTAATGAAATATCTTTAAGTAAGTCGTAAATAAATCGATGTGTTTGTACAAACTATTGTGTTTTAGTAATTGATTTCTACATACATATGTAATCATTAATAAAAAATTTATTTAACGAAGTGTAAAATGCTATTATAAAAATTGCTGTTATAAAAATTTTTTTTTTTAATATCTAATTTGTACCCTTGGCTATTTTTCAAATCTGTTCAATCAATGCAAATACATACATACAGTAGAATTGCCTTAGCGCACCATTTTTATAGAAATATGTTTTTACACTAAAAACTCACTTACAAACATTGAAACAAAATTATCATTTAGTGTGAATCGTGACTCCATAAGTAACACTATTGAAGTGTGAAAATACTTCACTACTTCCCCTAATTTCTCATTCATTTATTTGATTTATTTATACCATATAAATGAAAAATTGTTTTGATATTTGGTAAGTGTTTCGAATTTATAAAATATGTTTTTAATTTGTGTTAAAAATAATATACTGTGTTGAAACAGTGTTAGTCAAGTATGGTGTTGTTAGATTTCATACTAATAACAGAATTTCTTTCGTTTATGGTAAAACATTGAAAAATATTACAGTTAGAGTAATTAATATTCGAGTAGCTCACTTGAAATTCTGATCATTTCTGGTTCAAACAAACAGAAAATTGATTTTAGAAAAAATACATAAACACCTTATGTACCATAGTGAAGAGCAGTTCATTACTATATTTAGCGATTTGTGCAGTGCCTTCTTTAGAAACATGGAAATTTATACAATATTTTACGAAAAGAAAATTCATGCCGCTAAAAATATATATTTAAAATATTTATATGCTGCTAGAAAGCCACGGAAATTCACACATATTATACAAAAATATCAAACAAGCATTAGACCTTTGAGAAAAAAAGCAGTGAAGAGTTATTGTCATGCATAATAGAAAAGGATGTATGTAACGATGCTCAACTCAGAGCATAAAGTGTGTTAGTGCAACTCATGCCAACCAACGCCATTGAATAACTACACTAAGTAGATGATGAAAGGTTTAGTCGAACGGATAATTGAAGTTGTAACATCGATAATTCCTATGCATTTTGTTTGGTGAACATCGTGAATGTATGATGGTTCCAAATACTCTGCTATGACAACTGAGGCTTAGCAATGAAGTATAAAAGTATTCAAAAACATCGATAATTCCTATGCATTTTGTTTGGTGAACATCGTGAATGTATGATGGTTCCAAATACTCTGCTATGACAACTGAGGCTTAGCAATGAAGTATAATAAAGTATTCAAAAACACATAAATATGTATGTGTTCAGCTTAGTTGGGTATGTAGGCGTTTAAAACGCTTCGTAAGATGGGGCCAGTTGTATAAATTCACGTTAGTGAGGAATTGAAGTGGTAGTGGACAGAGGTGATTCTTTTACATATATTTCTAGCAGCTAAAGACTTCCGGTCTTAGGCTAATTCTCCTCTGCGTAGCCAACCAACCGCCATAAGTCCTACGGTGTCAAATCGCACGGTCTCGGTGGCCAATTGACATTGCCAGGAAACTTCTTTTGCAATAAAGCCATACTCGTTCGTGGTGTATGTTACACAATCTAGATGATACTATATACTGTTCAATTATATTTATACGATGATGTTTGCTATTATATTCATTACTAAGTGAAAAAAACTTACCATTCATGTTTTATCAAGTTTGGGTTTTCATTTTAACAAATATTTCTTCGTATTACAATAATATTTCACTAAAACTTTCATAACGCGATCAATAGTCGTGTTTTGATATATGTAAGAGTTTTGAAATATTATGTATTGTACATTACTTTTTCATTCGATTATTTTGTTTAATTTATCATGCGAAGACTTAATTAGCATACTGAGTTAAAATATTGTAAGTCGTACGCATACAAAATATGTGCATGTTGTATGTGTATGAATCCTAAAAATTATGTTCGCATTTTTCACTCTTGTGTTTCGAATTCCAGCACTGTCAATGTCTGGTTTTTATTAAACATTTGGTATTATCTTTAAGCTTAGTGTATTCTAATGAATACTGAAGCACGCTGGAAAATATTTCACTCACACAAATGCGAAAGGTTGCAAATGCAAATTAACGCGCAGACAGCCCGATAGTGGCTATACACGTACTACCGCAATGGAATCCAACCACAATTAGAGACTGCAGCCAAAGCATTGTCTCACTGTGGTAAACAACAAATGGACAGATTTGAATGCAACTTAAATTTCCACTTTGTAAGCTTGTTGTTTATTGCATCTGAAAGTGAAGTTTCATCAAAGGGTTACTGAACTGCTACTGTAGTGCCACTTCATTGATGATGTTTTTGTTGTCATATATATATATTAAATAAATGCTGCTTTAATTGGTAATATACTGAAAATTTTACAGGCCTTGGTTTCCATTTTGGTCAATACCTTTTCTTCATCAAATAAGAAAGTCTTTGCAAATCATATATATCTATGTGACGGTTCCGAAACCCGGGGAATTAGCAGTACTTACGGCCACAATAATAGAAAAGCAAGACGAGTTTGCAGACAAAAAAGAAAGAGTAAGAAATGCCTAAATATATAGAAATTAAAAATCTGGAATCTGGAATCTGACTCTTTTTTGTATGATTTGTATTGCGAAATTGTGGTGAATATAGGAAAACGAAAGTTCATCGTTAGCTAAAAATTCTTTGCCGGGGTTCAAAATTAGTACGAAAAGAATATTTTGTCACACAAAGAATCACATTACGCATTGTCATTTTCATTTATGAACATTTCAAAAATTTAACCACTTTTTATTTCTAAAGTCAAAATATAAATATCTAGAACAAATCGAAGCGACAAAAACTAATCTCACAGGATAAAAGATACAAACTTTACTCAAATAGAAAAGGCAGCAACTAGAATGAATGGATTCCAAACGTTTCTTGGTGTCGAGGATTTTGAAATAGGATAGAATACTGCGTAATCTATTTGGAGAATATTTGGGTACATTTCTTTTTGTTTTTGTTGGCGTTATGAGCACAGTATCACAGTTATTCCTGTCACCTTCGCCTTTGGTCTTTCGTTATCAACTGTATCACATGTGGTTCAAAGAGCAAGTGGCGCCCATCTGAATCCGGCTATTAGCATAAGTTGTTTGGACGTATGCGGAATAAAATTTCTAAAATGTTTATGCTATATACTTGTACAGTGTTGCGGCGCCTCCTCTGGAGCTCTTTTGGTGGTTGTCATTGCGTCGAAACAATCACTTGATGAAGAGGACGGTGTCTCACATCCATTATTTGACAGCGTGTGGGCAGCACTTGTTGTTGAGATATGTATTACATTTCTGATGGTCATCGTGTTCAAAGCTATGAATGACCCAACTGGTAATGATTTGAATTTATCCGGTCCACTGGTTGTTGGTTTATCGGTAGCTTCGGGCCATTTGGTCGGCTACTTGCTATCATCATCGAGCATGAATCCTGCACGTTCTTTCGGACCGGCGCTTGTGAATCTTGATTTCAAATATCTTTGGCTTTATTGGGGCGGACAAATACTAGGAGGCGTATTAGGCGCAATTTATTATGCCTTTGGTATGCAGGATCGTGAAGCGCTCAAACGCTATTATTCCAGGCGAAATTTTATAAGAAAAAGTTCAATACGATCAATTACTTGAGCAGCTCAAAACTACAATGTTANTTCTTTCACGAGCGCCACTCTCAAACGATTCGAACGGCATCCAGCGGAATCGGGCACGAACTTATGCACTCATCCAACATATAGTCTAAGAGCCTAATGCAGCCAGTAATACTACATTTTGTAAAAATACTTTGACACATAAGGAGGGTAAGAGAAGCATTATATACATTTTTTTTTAACTAAACTCTAGAAAAATTTGTGTGTTATTATTTATATTTATATATGTATATATATATATAATTTTATTTTAAATAAACACTATGTTAATCTGTAAATATGTCTGTGTTTGAGAGTACCTGAACAGCAATAATATATAATTGCAGCTAAAATAGCACCTGCTATGGGACCTACCCAGTAGGATAAATGATTTTCCCATTCATTCTCAAGAATTGATGCAGCCACAGAACGCACCGGGTTGACGCCTCCACCGGAGCCAATCATGGCAATCAGATAAGCCCCAAAAACAGTAAGACCAATGTAAAACGAGCCGTTTCCGTAAGCATCTTCATGACGTCGCTCGGTAGTCACAATTACCGTTACGATCCAAATAAAGGACGCTAAACCCTCGACAATACATATCTCTAAATATGAAGCACCCATCATCGGTCTTATGGTGCGATTATCCTTGTACATTTCCTCATTAAGTGATAGAGAAATAATTCCGATTGCCGCTAAGCCACCAAGAAATTGAGCAAAAATATAGCCAATGACACTTAGTACACTCATGCCGCAAATAAGGAACAAGCCGAGACTGACCATTGGACTGAGGTGCGCACCACTGATACGTCCAAGCGCGTGAGAAATCGAGAATGTAATACACCCCAAGGCGAATGCTACCTGTACAGGTGATGCGAACTGNCTGGTGTTATCATTTCATCAAATTTTTTTGAATATGAGGCATGTTCGATGAGCCAGTACACATGAGCTTACAAAGCAGACAAGGACATTTTTTCAGTGCGTTGTCGGACAATTTAGGGACATCCTTTATATAAATATCAAAAGTCAGAAACCGCACAACAAAACCAAAATATTCACAGTAACGGACGCATAACGAAAGCGAAACCATGGAAAATATTGGTATATAAGTAGTCAGAAAAACGCAAAAAGGAATAACGTGTACCATACAGAGCAACAGCAAAAATAGTACCACCGACAAGACAACGAATAATGCCTTTTTTCTTAAAAGCTATGCAGCGCTAACGAATGCCCAAATAAAACATGTGGATACAGAACTGTTAAAGGAAAATGTTTAACAAAGGAACAAGAGAATAGAAACAAGCAATACAAACATGTTGAAATCCACTTTTGTGGAAGCAACAATACACAATATTGTACAGGTCATAAAAGTTTTAAATAGTACGTATGTTAATGTGTATGCATGTTTCTATTCATGTCACTAAAAGGTTTTACAGGCTCATACAAACAATTCCAAAATTTTTATATATTAGGCCAAGTACCAAGTTATTCATTATTTTTGCAAAAGATGGCTTCAATGACCTGTATCTCGCGTTCTATAAGTGTAAATAGATTACGTTGGATGACATTAGAAAGGCGATATTTTGTTGTAAGAAAAGTAATAAGAGCATTGTTTAACTCATTAGTAATTGAACATATGTATGTCAAAGAAAGGCACGAGCTAATGAAAACACGTTTTATTCTATTCCAATTCCTCTTTGATAAAGGCGTAAACGCCATACATATAGCTCAAACATGAATAATGTTTATGGTCTTGATCCTGTCATAGTCAATCATTCATACAAGGTGTGATAATTACGTAATGTTGTGGTAACCCTACGACCTTAAAATTTCCTTTCCCTTCTTTCGGAGGGAGTTTCGAGATATAGGAATTAAACAGTAGCGAGGAGAGGAAGCCACCCTGCGGAACCCCCTGGCGGTAATGAGGATTTCTAAATGTACGTTAGATAAATTCCTTTACTTTAACTGTAAATCTTCTGTTAGTAAAGTATTTTTGGCAGAGTCATTTTAATTTAATATCCTTCGTGCCATACTTTATCGAATGCTTGAGCCACAACAAGAAATATTGCTGAGCAAATGAAATGAGCAAAAAATACTCTTTCAACTCAAACGCCGTCCTGAGCTCATTGGTAATGCGATGGACTTGTTCTAAAGCACAATGTTTTTCGCGAAAACCAAATTGATGATTTTGTATAGTTTTGTATTCGAGTAGAAAAGGAGATATATTGGATAGCAGCACTTTTTCAAAAACTGGGTATGAACCGTGAAAAAGTCAACCAAGTTTTAACCGACGATTTTGGAATGACAAAGTTGTGCCGTGCCACACCACCCTCAGCGTGACCCAGTTGCAGCAACTGCCTTATTCGCCCGATATATCATCCTGTGACTTTTTTTGTTCCCTAGAATAGAATCGGTGGTCAAAGAAACCCATTTTGAGTCGATTGAAGACATCCAGGCAGCCGTGACGAGGGTACTCGCGGACATCCCAGAAATGTTACGAAGCATGGAAAACGCGCTGGATCGTTGTATAGCTGTCCAAGGGGACTACTTTGAAGGGGATTCCAGAGTTATGGAGTAATTTTGGTATACACGGTTTTTGTAGAATCAGTGTCATTACTTAATTCTCACACCTCGTGTTTCAAAGGATTAGTATTTAGCTTTAGATATCTAGAATAACAATTTAAATTTACAGCCAAATCGGTTAAACTGTTTCTAGTCAGCGTTTCGCCAAAATTTGAAAAACATAGTTTCGAGAAAAGCAAGCTCTAAGTTTCGACAACAAATAATACTTATGTATATAAATAAAATATAAAATTTTTTTTGAACTTATCATAACGGGCTACTACCTTAACCTCCTATCACAATATATATTCCCATATACTTAACTTTACAGGCATATGATACGATCTGACCAATAACGCTTCCCTGTAACTTCACTCTAATTTTCTTCACTCTAACATTCGTAGATGTGGGTTTTTAGAATGATGAAAAATGGAGCCGGGAGCAGTTTTTTGAGTTTATAAATAAATCCAGTACATCAGGTTCGATCGAAAGCTTGATGAATACCTAAAAACACTGCTGAAATATTCTTTACTGCCTAGCGTATTGCTAATAAAAGGTAACTTGAAAGTTTAATAGTAAACACAGGAATGGCAAACTACTTGAAGAATAATTGTTCGAAACTGCCGAAATCTTTCAAATTCTCTAGCGAACGTTTCTTAGGTGCCTTTTGTCAGTACTAATGAACTTAAGCTGCCGTTCCCTAGTTCTTAGGATTTTAAAACTTATGTCTAAACTTTAAGAAGGTATGTAACTACAATAAAGATCTTTCTTTGGTGTAACAAAAAATGGTATAAGAATAATGCTATTACCTTGAACAAATTTTCAGCTCCTTGTCAGTTCCTAGTTTATTCGCTACTTTTCTATCGTAGCATGGGTAAACGTCAGAATGCTATCCATTTCCTTTTTTTGGTTTATCCATAAATATTATTCATATATTTTATCTTTAAAATTAAGAAAAAAGTATAAAAAATGTATGTTTGTTCAGGATGTATTTTTCCTAATTCAGTATATTTTTTCCTGAAAACATCTCATAACTATCTTTAGCAACTCAAAAGCTTGTATTCTTCCTTTTGAATATCTTTTTTGCTAGCAAAATATCTCAGAAGTACTTTAATTACTTCAATAAAGTTTTTGTCCTTATCCATTTCATCATTAAGCGACGTACTACTTGAATTACTACTGCACTATCATTCTACTAAAATTGTCTTAACATAATTCGAAATTTGCATTGTCTTTGATAAATGTATATTTCTAGTGTGTGGAAAAAGGCGAAAGGAATGACGTTTTAAAACAAAGAAATATTCAAACAGAACTTATGCCAATCTCCTACAAATTTATTGTCAAAAGCAAAAGAAAAAAAACTATTTACAGAAAATCCGACAAAATTTGACCAATGATTTTTCAACTGCTATTTGCATTCAGCATTTCCATTAGTTTCACTCAAATCTATTATCGCTGTGGCGGCAGAAAGCGCAAACTTGAAAGTAGTTTCGCCAACAATGCACAAAGCTGGAAAGAAAAAGTTTAATGCATAGAAAGCTTAAGCACAAAAATGAGGAAAGATCACCGGTAGAAGTAAGAGTAAAGTGAGAATACGACGGAGCTTGCCAGCATAAGTAATAAAACTTTATGATGAGCAAAGCATATAGTTTTTCCAGCGACCAGTTGCAATTGCGGCTGTGAAATGGCCAGAACTCTGGTTGAGCAGCTGTTAGAGCTTACTAACTGCACCGAAGTGAGTAAAGTTTGTAGCTTAAAGGATAGATAATACATACACGTAATTATGTAATCGTGCGCGTGCCTATAAAATATTATATACATATGTAAGTACCAGTATATGCATGTACCAAAGTACCATGAATGTGCTTAAAAGCTGGTCGAAAAGTTTAGGAGTCTAGTAGAAAATGAATTTGGCATCGGAAAGGTGATGCATGTTAATATTTCCGTTATGCTGACTCTTGCTCCGGCTTACGTTTATACATATTATTCTTTAATAAGTTCTCTAAATAAAGTTTTAGGAAAGCTTGTTCCTCAATATTATGTTGTACTTTTTTCAACTTCAACTTTTGTTGTATATTTTTCATGAATTGCATCACCATAATTTTTGACCAAAATATTTGAGCACCAAAAGGGGAGGATATACTCATACCATATACCCATATGTACAGATATAATAAAGATAACTTGGGTCACCTTTAATATGTATAAATGGTTAAAATAGATCATGTTGGACAAATTTTTTATATAATTCCAGTGCAGTTACTACCGTTTATGGTCAAAATTAATAACTCGCCGTTTTTCTTTCTGAAAAATTAAATTCCATTAAAAGTTATTATTTGAGCTAAAAGAATAATAATCTAATAATTACCGTTGTGCTTGTGACCACAGGTTTTATTTTAATAAAAAAAAAAAACAAAAAGCATTAAATCTTTAAAAATGTAATAATTGAAATTTATTCAAAATATCTCAAAAGTCTTGTTAATGTTCTATCTTTTCAGCACTTTCAAATTAAAGTCAAAATAAAGTATACATAATGTACGTTCGAGGGTTAGCTTTTTTATTTTGGGATTAAGCAAACCCAGTGTTGTAATCTGAACAGAAACAACTTCATAATACCATTTGATATTTCCGATGTTATATATACTCAGAATATTTGGTCAAAACGAGCGCAATTTGTGTTAAAATATGAAATTCATCTCAGCGAAAAAAATTTAAATCTGGAACATTTCCGCAGGAATAAATTTTATAAATTTTGACGTGGATTAACTCAGAAAATGTGCATCACTGAGCTTAATTAAAGTTTTTGCTATGAAGCTCTATCCAAGCAGTGATTATTATTGGTAGGGTGAATTCAATCGAGGTCGTACATGATTCCAAGACGATTTTCGAGGTTCGTGTCGGTTGGTCAAAATAGGTGTAAAAAATTGTGCTTGGAAAAACGTCTACGGTATCCTGCCTTTCGTTGAATAGTGGATTAACGTGGATAGGCATGAAAATAAACAGCAATTGGCTGTATAGGAGTTTAAAAAAGAGCCGAATTAAAAAAAAGGAACGCTCACAAAAGAAGCAACCATTTGTTTGCCAGTTGCAGTTAAAAAATCAGGAAATTAACCACCGAATGCGGATTACGCTTTACCAGGGCAATGAGAGGCCTTACATATCGATTGAAACAACTGTGTTATTGAGCACATCAAAACATCAATTTCCTGAATCTGCGCTGTATAACTTATTTTTATACCCGAACGTAAAAAATAAACTGAGAAGTCATCTCTATACGACTCCTGAAGAGGCGGTTGATGCGTTTAGAACGTATTTTTGGAGGGGTACAAAAGATTCGGCAATCGCTTCTAACGCAAGCAAAAATATAAAGTTCTTAATAAAGAATATCTTGAAAAACACCACGGCCATC